CTTATTAATTTCTTTAAATACAACATATTTGCTATATTTCAAACATTTCTCATTTCCCTTTGTATCATGTCTATATAGTTTTTTAATGCATTTGTTTTTTTTTCCCAAACACCATATATTTTTTGTTTTTTAAATTCGTTTAGCTTTCACCCGCAAATATTTTCCTTCTTCGTTATATGAAATAAAACTTAAAAATAATTTAATTTTTTAAGTTTTCGCCATTTTTCTAGACCATGAACGCTTTTTTAGTTTCAGTCTTACAACCATTTCTTTCCATGGACAGTTTTTTATGTTAGGACGCAACTTGCTTTGGGCACTTGCGAAAAATCTCGTTTATTTGTATCCTTAATAATTCAGACTTACATGCATGTGCTCTCTTATTTGCTTATGGCCCCTTTTAGTTATTTAGAAAACAGAAATCCCACCAGGATTTAAGAGTCGTTACATTTTGTATATGATACTTTCCTTGTTAAACTCAACGATTTTTTAAAATTTCTTTTTAAAAATGTAAAATAAAAATATCTCGATTGTATACAACGAAAATTTAATATCGTATAATTGTTCAAATTGTTACTTGCCCTTAGGGATTTTATGTATACTGCACAGATTTGAAAGCTACATAGACTATCATATTAAAATATAAATATTACTCAACAAAAATGGTTGATATTTTTAAAATGTTTTGAATTAAATATTCTTATAATTAAATAACTTTTTGTATTTGAGCCAGTGCACTTGAGCACTTTTACTCTTTATTAACTCGAGGTATCATCAAAACCCCTCTTTACGCCTTGACTATTGTTTATCACTTCATCAGACTAAGCAATAATTGACTTTATATCTGCATACCTCCCCTAGGACCCTGTAATCATTCTGATTTGATAATGTGACGTTGGTAAGTCTGTCAGTTTTCGCAAATAATTTCAGGGCTCTATCCTGTAGAGAGCCCTGAAATTATATATATCATGTATTGTAATTGTATATATCATGTATAACATAAAATTTAGAAATTTTATCTTTCAGATATAAATTTATTTAAGCTTAAATTAGTATTGCTGAACTTACCTGTATAGCAGCGCGTGCGCCTCTGCTTATTGCTGGCATAACACTTGTATGTAAAACGCATTGCTTTTTCTGCCCATATGTCATACCATCTACCAAATAGCAATTGTCGGGATTTAAATCAACAACTTCAGAATACGCCGCTACTGTAGGACTGGGACTTGTGCCATTTTGTAGCAAAGAGTATTGATCTGGATTAGCGAGCAGAAAATCACGTGCTCCATTTGCTAAGACAGCTTCTCGTTCAAAATGAGTGGTGCCATATTTTGTAGCAAATTTATCACCATTGCGTCCTTGTAAGCCACCACCAATATTTCGACGCTTAGGTTGAGATCTTACTGCACGCGAAAGCACCGGCAGCACCATCTCACCAAAAGGCTGCATCTGTTCATCATTCGATTTGTTCATCATTTTCTTAAAAGAATCTGGTATCTCTATTGAAACTGCAAAACGTTTGGTATTGTTTAGTGTCTGCACCCAGGGTTCGAAACGTGGTTGTAAGTACTCGGCTTGTTCGCGTAGCCATTGTTCACGATCTCGCTGCCTTTGTAGCTCTTCTCGTTTTCGTTGGCGAACACATTTTTGCGATTCCGGATTTCGTAGGCATACGGGTTTCTTAGTCGGACGTCTCGGTGTGGTAGTGCTGGGTGTGGTAGAAGTAGTTGTCGGTAGTGGAGTTGTTGAAGTACTACTAAATTGATCAAAATCAAGTTTTTTGCCATTTGTTTGATCGTTTAGTAGTAGAACTTGTGGCACTATTGTTATTTTATCACGATCACTGTTGCCAGCTTGTGATAAAAAGATAGACATGCTATCATCATCTTCATTGTGATAGTATCCACCAAATGGTTGACCAATCGGTGATTTATTTGTTGCAGTTTTTCGAGTTGGTGGTAATATTGGAGCAGAATAATGAAAAATAGGTCTTTGTGGACGCACTGTAGTAGTTCCTATAGTTTGTTTGTATTTATCTTTTTGAAGACTCGGAAAAACTACAAATTTAGATTGAAAATTACTATCATGTTTTGTCAGATTTTGCAAAAAGAGTATATGATTTTTTAGATCATCAATATTGGCAGCAAAATCGGGCGATACCGATGTGGTGGTCTTTTTGGATGTGGTCGTAGTAGCACGTGTTGTCGTTGTTGTTTTTGGTGTTGTTATAGGTATACGTGGATCAGGCGATGCATTTTTTAGTGCCATTGGAACAATAAATCTACGATCTTCATCAGTTAAACTGGCAGGCAAACCGTTTTCATCGGTATCTTCATCAAGTAATATAATTTGTTTCTGATCCATTTCCTCTTGTATGGGATGCATTCTACGTGGCATTTGAATGCCAACTGTTCCACCATAAACTTTTTTTGTTAAATTTGCTTTTACAAAACCAGTTGATGAATCTCGCAAATCGACTGGTTTTATAAATGTGCCCAATTTACGTAAGCCTTCTTGATGCATAAGAGCTTGCTCATCTTTGGTGATATTTAGCGGGACGCTATTATTTGCTAATAATTCCACTTCATTGGTGAACTCTATGAATGGTGATTTCATACCCAAGCACCTACAAATAGAAATATTTAATTAATTTTAATTAAGGTATTTAAGAGGTATTTAAGAATTTATAGTGTCGTATCGCTTTCGCACGATGCAACGGTGCAATCTTTTGTGAAAGATTATGTCAAACAATCAAATTAGGCTAATAAATAGTACAGTCACCAAACAAATGGGGTAAAAAAGTGGAGGTCTGGACGCAGATCGAAAATCACAAGAGCATGGCTTGAAATGCAACATAAAAGAGACACCACTCGCAGTAATGCCAAGGCGGTATTTTAGCCCGTATACTACATATTAATGTTAAGTATTCTGTCGCACCATTTCAATGACGGTTGGTTTGACGGTGCATAAAGCATTCCACCTCCTCAACAAAAAAACCAGTCAAACAATACAAAGAAAAGTGTAATATTAACCCAAAGGTAAGAACTCTGATAATATATATTTGTACGCTAAATATTAGTTAGGAAAATTTTTAATTTCTTTAAACCTAAAGTTTTGTGACACCTTGGCTTTGACTGAACAAAATTAACTTATAAAATTATAAAGATTAAGATCGCCTATAGTTTAAGCTTCAAAAATATCGGCAGTGCTTGTTAGTTTTAATTGAATTGAAAATATAATTTTTAAAATAAAATTTTGAAAATTGTTATTATATAAATTATAAGAAAAACAAGTGATATTAAACTATGTTTAATAATGTTTCATTTTTCATGTATGTAGAATTAGTTTAAATATCTAACTAAAGATAACGGAGTAGATAACTTTTATATATAAGATACACAAATCTCTATAAGAGTTGTGGAGAGTTCAGTACAAAAAACTCGTTAATTTGTTTATTAATTGTTTTAAGCATCTCATTTGTAAATGACACTAAACCTATAAAAATATTTACTTAATTATTATATACATATAATGGAATTTGTTTGACAATAATTTCAAAATAGCAATAATATTATTAAAAAATTAATTCTAATTAATAGTATTGCAGTCGTTGCTGTTCTTGTGAATATGGTCTGCCATAAACTTCAACAACATATTTAAATCCTTGTCTCTTTTGGCTGATGAACAATAACATTGCATATTTTTTACCGGCTCCGCCATAGAATGGGAGAACAACAGTTTGTCCCAAATCAAACAATTTTTTATTCCGTACGACAATAGCTGTAATAACTCCTTGATTTTTATAACACTATAACAAGTTTTAAAATTAAATTATAAATTTGTTTTTCCAATTTATAGTAAAAATATATTACATCAGATACGAATGTATAAAATCCCCGAACTCTGGTAAGTTTTGCTTTAGCAGATACTCGTTTACGATCAAAAAGAAAATCTCCCGGTACTCTTTGTCCATATACAATATCTCTTTGTTGGCCTTCAGCAATATGTATAGCAAGGATGAATGTAAGTAACACAATACATAACGAAATCTTCATGTTAGTAAAACAAAACTTATTCTAGAATTTCAAATATTAACTGTCCGTAGAAAACAGGTAATTACATTTTTATATTGTTGCATTGCTATTATTTTGCAGTTCTAGTTTGCATTTCAAATTGCATATACTATTGAATTAGATAAGCTTTTTATACTAATAACAGAAAATTTTAATTCGTCATGGTAGAAAATACATAGTCAAACAAAGGTCACAATTTAAAAGTATATAGTTGACTTGCATATATTATCATCTAACTGAAAACTTACTTTTTGTCTAAGTATTGTTCCAGAAACGAGTTCAAGAAATAAATGGTGTAAAATTGCATTATCACAATTTAAACATTTACTAAAGTTAACATTATTACAAGTATATTTATATATATACATCTATATATATACAAAACATATTAAGTATGTGTTAAAAATTAACAGTAGTTATATTAATATAGGTCTTGTAATGTTTTGACTTATTTCATCCAGTGACATTTCCACTATATATACAAAAAATTATGAATTATTATAATTGAAAGCTTATTGACGTAATAATATGGATACTCGCATTTGAAAGCCAACATGTATAAATAAATTTTTCTAAATTTTTCTTTTTAATGTCTTGTCTGTTGTAATTTCTTGGATATTTATTTAATTTTAGTATCATACAAAAGATTATTCTAATCACCT